CAGGGAAGAAATCTTAGATTTAACCCTTGCTGAGAAGTTATGTCCTTGGGAACAGAATTACATAGGTTTGGCTCAGTTGTCCAGAGTTCTGTGTCATTGTGTTTAATAACTGAACCGTGAGAACGACATGCAGAGCTTTTCAGTCTGTACTGTGCAGGTCAGATCACAGCCGAGCCCAAGTGAAATGCTTTAGAAATAAGAAATGCCCTTTCTTTTACTGAGTGAATTCTACTTTTACAAAAAACATGGCATTTAAACAGTGGAATTTCTGCAGATGCTAAAAATATGGAGCTATAGTAGATTAAAAAAAATGTTCAAGATGTCAGTACATGCCAAAACAGGCTAAAGAATATAAAAATAGTGCTTGCAGCACAATCAGATAGCTACTACAGATAGGTAGGTTATACATAGATGATAGGAGGTAGGTAGGGCAGATAGATAATCCTTTACCTAGCACAGAAAATACCTGAAGGAAAGAAAAGTTTTTGGAAGTAACTTGGATGGGAAAGAAATGAGATCTTTCCATTTTTAGTGTTTCCTGTTACATATTGCTTGAGCATTTCAAATAAGTATGTTTCACATCGTAACAAACTAATAAATAAGGCTGTTTTGATTAGATGTTTAAATGTTAAGTACTTTAGTAACTTTGCTCTTCTGAAAAGAAAATCTGTTGCTCTGCAGCGGGCTGCTCTTTGGGCCTCTCTGAGTTTCTGTCAAGTCTGCTGTTGTGAGAAGCAGAGACAAGTAGGAGCTTCCTGCAGCAGAGGCGGTGCAACAGCTTTTCTGTTCAGAATTGAGCAGAAAATATTGTGCTTTGCTTTGCTGTTCCAAAAGGAAAAGGGCAAAATCTGCAAGGGTAAATTCAAGCAAGGATTTCCCGCAGAGCAATGAGAAGGTGCCCTCTCCTGGAGCCGTCCTGCAGCTTTCCTTGGCTCTGGTAGAGGGAGTCACACAGCCTGTGCTGCAGGGAGCTGAGGGGCAGGGGAAGGGGCAGAGGGAGGAGAGAGGCCAACCTCAGAGGGAGGGGGCAGCCTGATGTCTACTAGAGCAAGTGAGGGCAGGTGCTCATGGAGAGAGAGAGGGACTGACTCTTCACCTTGTCCCAGGGAAGTGATTTAAGACGCACGTTCCTAACCAGTCTTGGCTTTTTATAATCCAGCACCATTTGCTCTCGGAGAACCCGAGCATCCATAATTGTCAAGTGCACACTCCAGGATTTTAGATCAGCCCGGCATCCCACGGAATCCTGGGTGAGACTCAGAACTGCACTTTGGGCCTATTTTTCATGACAACCTGTGAGCATAACTTGGGAGCAAAAGGGCAACAGAAGAGCAAATTGCAATGATTTTTGGACAGCTCGCCAGAAACTACAGGAGTTGTGCCTCTCTGAGGGAGTACCGTGTTCGGTGGATTTGTAAACCTCAGATGACAAGAGAAGGCTCTTCTGAACTAGGTGGCTTTCAGTTTTGTTCTGATCTTGTTTTGCTTTTATCTCTCTGCAACAAGGCAACCCATCTCATTAAGAACCAGGACCCTTTCTTGGCAGTCTGAAGGCAGATAAGCCAGGCATTTCCCACAAACTTCCTGTAGGACTCTGGCCACCTTCAAGAACTTGGACGTGGCAGGCTTTGAAGCGCGGGGCAGAGCCTCGTGTAGGAGAAACTGGAGTGCCACACCAGGACAGTTTCCCTGTAGCATGGGTCCCACTCC